CCAATATTTTGCTCAAAAGATTGAAAAAAGAAGATTTTCGAAACTAAAACCTATTTAAAGTCTATATTTTACTAACCTTTTTAATAATAAAAAAATCATATTTTTAATAAAGTTTATTTATTTAAAACAACCGGACTTAGGCTTATAAAAGAAAAAAGTATGTTAGACATAAGCAACCTATTTATATATATATGATATATAATAATAAAATATAATATATATTTTATTTTTAACAATATAATTAAATAAATAAATTTGTGATACATAAAATTAAATTATCAATATTTTTGACATTTTACACTTAGATATTTTACATACTCTTTTTGTATAAAATCTCATAAATCTAAAGTAGAAATTCTAGTAATCACATCTTCACTTGCTCATTTCCTTCATCTTCATAATTGATTATTTAAAATATTTCAAATAACATATAAGAAATATTTAAAATATTATTTTTATAAGATTATCTTCTTTCGTCATAACATGTGGCTGAGTGTACATTAGTATATATAGGGTATACATGAGTTGTCCTTCTTAGATTATTTATTTTTTTTATTTTTATTTTAAAATTTAAATTTTAATGGTAATATATTAAATTATTTTTTATCATGCAAAAAATATTTGCATGCGTAATTTAAAATAGATTTATTAACTTATTTATTAAGTTTATTGACCTATTCAACGTGATTAATATGAAATAATTTTTTTAAATAAGTTAATAGGTCAAATTATAATTTTAAAAATATTAGATTAAGTTTATAAAAAAATCTATAATAAATAATAGGACATATTTAAGCTTTAATTTTATAGAAATGTTTGAACTATATATTAAAAGTGAAATATTTTTATTGTTACTAATACATAGTTTATACTATAGTAATATAGTAATAAGTTAGTTATGCATATATAAAAATTGCTTGTAAATATATTAGTAAGTTGATATATATAAATTCGTCTATATAATTTATGATTAAAAAATACATGTATATAAATTGACAGTTTTTATTAAAAAAATTATCTTCTATGTGATTTCTAAAAGTTATTAATATTTAATAAATATATAATCACATTATTAAATATTTTATTCATCATAAATATATATCGGTAAATTGTCATATTTGTCATGTAATAAAGTAAATTATACATTAAATTGATACGCGTACACCAAAGAATAAACAACGTTAGGGTGAAATATTATAAATATTACTATTAATTGAATCTTGAATGGAAAGCTCTCTATTAATTGAATAATAATTTAATTGTATTTGAATTAATTTTAAGTTTGCTTTCAACAAAAACAACTTCAACAATGTATCCACTCTCAAACTTCATTATTGACATTAATATTTTTTTTTAATTAAAATCATTCTCCTTATTTTTAATATTTTTTATTGAGAAGCGTAATATCACAACTTTTATGATTTTCTATGCATATTTCTAATGATAAAACAAATTATTTTTGATTACTTAATTAGTATCTAAAGTGTTATTAAGATATTAGTTATCAAGACTTAATCTCTACTTATAAAATTTAAATACAAGTGAGTCATTGTAATAATAACAAACCAAAGCCATGAAAACATTTCGATCGGGATTAATTTGCTTAATTAGTAGAACTTTTAGCGTGAGCAAGTATTGAAAATCTCCTTATTTGAACGCTCAAAACATCATGTGATATCACGCATTTGGCATTGGTCTTACAAAAATTATAGTTTAATTTGTTGAAATAAGCAATTTCTTTTAATTAGTATGAGATATTCGGTGTCAAAAATAATTAATCTTTGTGAAGAAAATTAAACACTCACAAAGTGAATATTCTTTTTCTAACATAATCTATTTAATATCTAAGACTGAAATTAATTTCAATATGAAGTTTGTTTGTTTAGTTAATTAAATGAGATATTTTGTAAGTGAATTAATTTTATTAGATTATGACATTTTCTTTTTCAAATGCTATCTAAAGAAACTTTTTTATCCTCATTACTTAAATAATATTTCTATACATTGTTTCCTTCAATATTTGATTATTTAATTTAATTATTTCACTATATTTTGTTTTAATAAAATATTGGATCCTAGACAAAAATTCACAAGAGTTCAAAAATAAATATTAATGTTAAGGACAAGTGGACAACATGCAAGATCACCACACCTAACAAGATTTTATGTACATGCTTATCAAACATATTAATCACACGTCAATTTACCGATTCATATGGATTTGCATGTTTGAGGCCTAGTAACCAACGAACTAACTTGTTTTTTGATATATAATTCACTTAAATTATTTTTATAGTATATTTTTAATTTAAAATCATAATTTAATTATATTATATATATAAAATGTGTTGTGTAATTTTTTAGCAGATTTTTAAGACATGATATAAATTTTATTGAATTTTATAAGTATAAAATATATTTGACATGAATATTCTTTTTTTAAAAATTTAATAGAGATCGAGTCATGCAATTCGATTAGTAATTTATCGATCCAACATCTAATCAATTGATCTAGTATTCTAACTAATTTGGTAACTAATCCAATTTTTAAAACATTGCTTCCATATGACAAATTAGTAATGCTCCATGATAAAATCTTCCAAAATGAGAATTGGTGATGTTTCTTTCAACTTAATTATTATGTTTGAATAAAATAGTATAGTTTTTATGATTATTATGATTTACTTTTTTAATTTCTATTTAAAACATTGGCTCAAATTATTTTTCTTATTCAATAATTTTAGTTGTGATTCAATGATATTATAATATTGTATTATTAATTAATTAATATATGATATTGGAATGTTAAAAAATATATTATTAATTAATATTGATTTAACCATTAAACTTTAAACCAATGTTGTCACTGATTTGATTAAGAATCTAATTTTAAAAACATCGATGTAAACATATATTTTGAAGTAACAAGTGATATAATGATAAATGAGTTCTAAGGTGCACCACTTCATCATGTGGTCATGTGTACTACAAATAGTGACTGGTAGATTGATCCAACCTATAACTCTTATTATGCACCCTCTCTCACCATAACATTGTCACTCCACTTTCTTAGCAACCTTCACCAACCATTACCTATGATTGCTCGAAACAATTTGAGTCGTAACGATGTTCCTTCAAAACCCACAGCCGTAAGTCATCATACAAGACCCATTATGAAGAAATCCTTTAGCCATGAGCAAGTCACTTTCATTGCTCCTTTCTCCAACACCCCTCTCGTTGTCGTCGATAGCAACATCTTGCACCCTCTTCTTGGAGAAGCGTGGCATTCACTCCACCATACTTGACACTATCCATCTCTCCCCCTATTTCACTTCACCCTTGCAATATTTGAGTATTCACAATCTTGGAGGAAGATTGGGAACCAGGTCATCAATTCTCATTTGTTAAAATTTGATCATCACTCAATTCTTTATCATTGATGATTTTCAATTTGTTAAGATCATGTAATAGGAGTTTTGGTGCGCAAGTGGAAAGATATTGTAAGAGAGCTTCACAACAGTGACAAGGAGAGAGAGAGAGGTGGCGACAACAAAAAAAGGAGGAGTCATTTGAGAGAGTGATGGTGGGGTAGATTATAAGACCCAATAGAAGATTGTTGATGGCAGAAGGGACGGTGGAAGAGCACTAGATGAGGGAGGCTTATTCTTATCAGTCCCAAAATGAAACAGTTACCGAAAATCACCTTTGAGTACAATACATGGTGGTTAGTGAAAAAGGCTACTAGAAAAAGGAAGACAGTGTTGTTACTAAGTGGGAGGGTGCATCATAATAATAAAAGCTAGATAAATCTAAGGATCATTATTTATGGTGCACAAATAGATCACATGAAACAATGATGCACCATAGTAGAACTTGTCATAATGATAATGCATTCACATTTTTGTTTTTGGTATAATGGTAGTAATGATGTTTGGAACTATGATTTCATGCATACTTCAAGTCCTGGCCCAATCCCAGTGGCTTCTAATGCACTCGCAATGGAAAATAATTGAATACATTTTAGAAAACCTATATCAATTTCTTCTGTTACAAATTGAGTTACAAACTTTTGTCACTCTTGGATGGGAGAAACGTTGGCAACTTCCTACTTGAACAGGTTCATACAATGGTGGTAGAGCGGTACAGTATCCGTATGATTGCTATGGATTCAACCCCTTCCCAAAAGCAAACAAACCAAAAGTGTAACAATAATTATACAAGCCCGAAATCCAAAAGGATATGAAGATAAACTGCGAACTCTTCTTTTATGATGCCACCAGCTGATTTATTCTAATCAGAATCAGAATCAGAACCAGCAATTGTGGAGGATCTAACGACTTTACGTGTACTGTCAGGATATTCATTATCTTCATCCTCATCTTTCTTCTCCGCAATTATGCCTGTCAAATGACAGTTAAAAAACCTTCCAGTCACTAAGTAAAAAAAATATTTATTTATACATATATATATATATATATTTATTTATACATATATATATATATATATTTATTTATACATATATATATATATATATTTATTTATACATATATATATATATATATTTATTTATACATATATATATATATATATTTATTTATACATATATATATATATATATATATTTATTTATACATATATATATATATATATATATTTATACATATATATATATATATATATATTTATTTATACATATATAT